GAATATCGCATGAGATAATTACAAAAAAATGTGTCACATGATCCAATTATATCATGCGACATTGTTTAGTGAATTAAGCCCCCTGTGTGCTCTGTTGATGCACAGCTCAAGATCATAAAGTGGGGGTATTAAATCTTTCATCAGTTGCTGAAGAAACCCTGGAGCTTCTGATGGCTGTACAGATTGCTTCCTATGGTGCATGTTCACATATGTCCGGTGCGCTGGCAGTGCGGTTTGAAAAAGAGTCTTGTATGATTTTTGAGCAGTGCCGTCAGGTTCAGGTGCGGATTACAGGCTCATTGACTTCTATGGGAACCGTTTCTAAACAACACGTGTGAACAGGATAAAATCCTGACCAAATCCTGTTCTGAATCTGATGTAAACCTAACATGACCCACTGAACAACTACTGTGTCAATTAGCTGTGAAACCTGAGCTTCAATTTGCACAGTACATGTGTGAATCAGTTATTATAGTAGTACACACTATTACAATATGCCATACTGACTTTATCTATTCCAACATCTTCTTAAACAATGGCAGGTATCAGGACAGGATCCTGACTATACACAGCTCTTGCTATCCCATTGAGATGTATAACATTCAGATCCTTCATTTCCAAGAAGCTTCCAATTTTTCATGAATTTGAAAGAGTTTATTCTATACTGCAGAAAGTTAAAGAGGAACACACACACACGCACACACCTATTTTTTTAATCCCCTCTGTGCCCAGGCAATCCAACATTGTCTTGTTGTGGTCCACCAGTCCACTGCCACACATAAATTGTGTTTCATTTGCATTGATGCATTGAATGTTATCATTACTGTATGCAACTTATCTACCAGCAAATAGGAAGTGCAGTCAGTTACATTGTATTCACTGGTTAAAATCTTATGTCAAAAATGTAAACACTGACTTTTTTGTTCTTTCTTCTACAGGTCGGTGCTTTATCCATGGATTCAAGTTTCTATCGGTGGAGGCACACTTTGCAAAACGATTCCTCAACATGTCCCTCAGAGAGAACACCTCTTCTGACATCCAGGAAGAAGATACCAACATATAATCTAAATAGGCAGCGAGTAGTCTTTGCCAATAATAAGAAATGGGAAAGTGATCGCAAAAGAGTTTCCAGATTTTATACTGGAAACAATATCCGGACAACAAAATACACCATTTTAACTTTTCTGCCAAAAAATTTATTTGAGCAGTTTTACAGGTAAGAAATGAAAAAGAGTACATAGGGCAGAGGGGTGGGACATCTGAGATATTGTTGTGTCTGCAGTTAGGATGTTAACTCTGGAATCTGTACCCAAAAAAGGCAAGCAGAGGTCAAAGGACTAGTCACCGGTATTGCATGTGGTATCCCTGCAGCTGATCTTTTCCCCATTACTGGCATACCTTGTCTTGTTCTGCACTGTGTGGGGGTAGCCATCTTGGTAGAGGCAGGACTTTGTTTCCTTGTGTCAGCAACTCCATCAAGGAGAACCGTAAACAGCACAGTAGTGACATCATAAAATCTCACTTCAAAGCTCCTATCCAAGCAGTCAGAGTCAGCAGTAATTTGGATGTCATACTGCAGATATACAACTATGGGGCTGTAGGCACAGGAGTGCCTTGGCACCCTCCCATACCAGGAAATGCACTAATATTTTTCAGAAGGAATACCAGACAAAAAGGTAATTTTTTTTTAGGGTACTGCCTAGGAACAATTATTATTTCTAGATCAGGCATCACTAAACGGCGGACCACAGTTCGGATCCGGACTGTGCCACTGTCCCATCTGGTCCTGCGGTTGTGCCATTTAGAGGCCTTCTTTTCCCCTGGCCTCCATGGCAATTAATGGAGATCAGGAGGCACAGCTTCACTGGATGAAGGGTGGGAGCGGGAGCTGCATGAGTTAACTTTCCCGATTACCTACCAGGTGGGTGGTCCTAGCAACCAATCACCCCCTTGCTGATATGAAAAGTTAACCCAGGCAGCTCACACTCCTGTTCTCCATCCAGTGCTGCTATGCCTCCAACTCTGAGTAAGGTAGGAGAACATGGAATAGAGGACATGGCTGTGAATGTTGGTGGAACAGCGGGTGAGGTGAAGGGAGCAGTACTGTGTGTGTGGTGGAGATGATTTGAAGGGGGGCAGATGTGGAAGGGGAAGAACACATTATTGTGGTGGGGGGAGGGTTATGTGGTGATGTGAAAGGGGAACAGTGCTGTGGGGGGGGGGGTGATGTAAAGGGGGCAGTGCTGTGGGGGGAGATGTAAAGGGGGCAGTGCTGTGGGGGTGCATAAAGAAGGGCGATTTGGTGGGAGGGGAGATCTGGAGAGGCAGTGCTGTGTGTGTGTGTGGGGGGGGGGGAATGTGATGTGAAGGGAGGTAATGCTGTATGTGGGGAAGTGATGTAAAGGGGGGCAGTGCTGTGAGGGGGGTGATGTCATGTGAAGGGGGACAAGTGCTGTGGAGGGGTGATGTAAAGGGGTGCAGTGACCTGAGGGGGCGATGTGATGTACAGGGGGGCAAGTGCTGTGAGGGGATGATGTAAAGGGGGGTCAGTGCTGTTGAAGGGTGATGTAAAGGGGGGGCAGTGTTGTGGAGGGATGATGTAAAGGGGGCAGTGCTGTGGAGGGGTGATGTAAAGGAGGGGCAGTGCTGTGAAGGGGGTGATATAAAAGAGATGTGAAAGGGCCAGTGGACCGTAATGTAAAGGGAAAACTGATGTGAAGTGGGGGACTGTGATGTGCAGGGGACTGAGGACACTTGTGTAAGAATGGGATTGTGACATAAAATGAAGAGGCTGTGACGGGAAGGATCTGAGACCTCAGGATTCAGACCTCTGCTGGAAGAAAATTTTACTGATAGAACCTCCATGATTTCTGATTCAGTGCCCCTGCTCTAGATGTTCATTATAGCATAGCAGATCTTCACTTGTTGAATTGCACTTTAAAGGCCAGCATGTATGATGAGATATAGGGGAAGCTGTGCCTGCTCTGTATAACCCACTTGTATAGCAGTTTGCCTGAAATTATTGACCAATTCAAAAGTAAACTGTAATGGTTTGGGGTCTACTGTTTTGTTTTTTTTTTTCTAAACTTTTTAAAATTCATTTATATTTTTTATTTTATATTTATCTGATTAAATATCCATAATACATGCATTCATAATGTGTACATTCCAATCAGATATGCTATATTTTAGAGATTAAAATTCTGGGTTTTTTTTTTTGTTTTGTTTTACCTACACCTGTGGCCAATTTGAAAAGGTATATACATATATAAATATAAAATGGTGCTAGTGAACCATGTGCAGTTGTTGACTGTCCTGTAGACTAGAAAAAGCTAACCATGTTAAATGTCAATTACTGTTGTAGTAGTGCAAAAAGGGGAAACCATTTTTCAGATATTAGATTATAATCCAAGGCAGAACAAGTCAAGTTGAATGTGACTAAACATTAACAGCTGTACTATGACCTGAATAAATAAGAACTTTCACAGACATATTTCCAAAGTCTCAGTTCGCTTATCCATTATAACACACTGAATTATAGAAGACTTTAAAATATCACAGGGAAAACCATTGCTTTGAATAAAACTGCTAAATTTTTTAAGCTCGCAAAACACCTCCTGGATGATCCACAGTGTATCTAAGACAGTGTTCTTTGGGCGACAAGATAAACTCTACCAGAAATGCATTGTACTGTAATGCCAAGACCTCATCCCAGCTGTGAAGTGTGGCACATTCAGTAACATGGTTTTGGGCCACTTTGCTGCCTCAGCACTTAGACAGTATGTTATCATACAGGGAACAAAGAATTCAAATATGCATCATTATATTTTACATAGTATATAATATCAAGACAGTTGTCAATATAAAGTTGACGTGTAATAGACGTTGGGGGATGAAAAAGACTTTGACCTGAAACACAGGGATAGGAGTGACACCTGTATATTTTAGAATAAATTTAAATCCCGCTGAGGTTCACAATGGCTTTAAAAGCTGTTACTGTAAAAAAAAATTCCAGAAATATCAATGAACTAAAATAGTTTTGTGAGGAGGAATGGTCCACAATTCCACCTACCATACAAGCCTGATCAATACATAGTTAAAAACAGTTGAATAGAGGGCTCCACATTTTTTCCAGTCTGGACTATGATTGTTTAAAGTGGTTCTACACACTTACCTGAGTCCTCTATTGATCCAGCTTGATCTTGTCTGCAGCAGTTCTTTCCCTTCTTCCTGCTCTTAGAGGCTACATAGGCTACTTAGGTACCATAGGCTCCTATTGCTGTCAGACAAATCCTATGAAAATATAGCAAGATGCATGGCAGAGCCACGCTGTGTGCCTACGAATGCACGGGTGCCCCTATAGCACACAGCTTGCTATGGAGGCATTTGAAAGAAAGGGGGAGGAGGAGAGGACAGCACTGGCTGGGGACAACAAAAAAGGGGTAAGGGCCCAATTGCGCATTATTGTTACACAGAGCAGGGAAGGATAAATTATTTTTTATTTTAAAGAAAAAATACCCTTTACAGCCACTTTAACCGCCTCCCGCCTGCCATATAAGGTAATAATGGGCACAAGGCGGTTCTCTTGTTCTGGGAGGACATCATATGACGTCCTCCCATTCTAACCGTGCATGCGTGGCTCCGGGGGCGCGCAGCAGCGCGGCGATCGGTGGTGCGCTGTGTCCGAAGGATCACCGATCAACGGAAAGAGATGAAGATTTTGGCTCGATCATGTGATCAGCTGTGTCCAATCACAGCTGATCGCATGTAAATAGGGAAATGCCGGTTATCGGCATTTCTCTCCTCACGAGCTGTCACGCTGACAGCTAGAGAGGAGAGTAGAGCCAGTAATCGGCATTCCTCAGAGGGGACATGTACACTGATCATCAGGGTACTGATGATCAGTGTGCCCTGATGATCAGTGTAGCCCCAGAAGTACCACCTGTAAGTGTCCATCAGTGCCAGCTGTCAGTGCTCATCCATGCCACTTTCCAGTGCCCATCAGTGCCACATCAATGCCACATATCAGTGCATACCAGTGCACATCAATGCCACATATCTGTGCCCATCTGAGATGCCTTTCAGTGCCACCTATCAGTGCCAGTCAGTGCCACCTATCAGTGCCAGTCAGTGCCACCTATCAGTTCGCATCAGTGCCGCCTATCAGTGCCCATCAGTGTGCCTATCAGTGCCTCCTATCAGTGCCAGTCAGTGCCGCCTATCAGTGCCCGTCAGTGCTGCCTATCAGTGCCATATATGAGTGCTGCCTTTCAGTGCCCATCAGTGATGCCTGTCAGTGCCCATCAGTGCCACCTACCAGTGCCTCCTTATCAGTGCCACCTATCAATGTCCATCAGTGCAGCCTATCAGTGCCCATCACTGCAGCCTCATTAGTGCACGTCTGTGAAGGAGTAAAATCACTTATTTACAAAATTTTATAACAAAAACATTTTTTTTTTTTCTCCTAAATTTTTAGTGGTTTTTGGTTTGTTTAGCAAACAATAAAAAACCCAGAGGTGATTAAATACCACCAAAAGGAAGCTCTATCTGTCTAAAAAAAATGATAAAAATTTCATATGGGTACAGTGTTGCATGACCACGCAATTGTCATTCAAATTGTGATAGCACTGAAAGCTGAACATTGGCCTGGGCAGGAAGGGGGTATACGTGCCCCGTAGGCTAGTAGTTAAAGCTGAACTCTAGGTAGATTCAAAAAATAAATGTGTAGTTATGTATTCATTAAACAATAATGAAAATGAATTGTCAAATGCAGCTTGTGTAAATACTTGAATTGGGTTTGCTTTTAGCATTCTGTAATCTCCAGTACAGTGGCACTAAGAAAGGCAGAGGGTGGGGCTACATTTTTGGCCAATCACAAGTCCTGCATGCATATGTACTAGTTCAACAATGCTATTTCATGAGTCAATGACCTAAAACAGAGCAAGCATGCAGCCAAAGAGGTCCAAAACTTCCCATCCTGCATTTGGGCCTGGTACTCATTAGGAAGTAAGGATCAAGATGACTGACAACCAAAAAAAGCTATCTATGGCAAAGCCTACATTTCTATCCTCACAATTCACTTTAGGCAGTTTCTTTTCATTACTTATTTGTGCTATGTACTTCAAGCATATCAACTCTTGTAATGGTAATTTGCTGTATTGATTAGCAAATATAGGTCAGATTTTTTTTTATTATGCTATGCCGCAATCTTTTTAAAAGGGTCACATCTGTACATAAAGGTTAACTGTTTTATCTGTATGTTTAAAAATAACAACTGGTTACTGTTTTACCCTTACAGATCTGCAAACTTGTATTTTCTGTTTCTTGCTATCTTGAATTGGATTCCAGTAATTGAAGTGTTCCATAAGGAAATAACCATGGTACCCTTGGTCATAGTTCTCCTGGTTATTGCCGTTAAAGATGGCGTTGAAGACTACAAAAGATATCGTAATGATAGGAAGATCAATTTGCAAAGAACCAATATATATAATAAGTAAGTTGTACAATGTTGCTGTCATAACAGATTTAATTTTTTAATATGATCGCTCTCCATTATACAAAAGTCTGTTGAGGTTTCCTCACTTTTAAAAAATAAAACTGTTATAGACTGCTTGCATGTGACAATAGACTGTCAGAGACTGTTCACATGTAATAAGGCTTTCAGGAAACTTGCATGGCAATGCACAACATTGTTCTCCCAATCATTTAGAATGTTCTGTAGACAGTTCATGTAATACAAATTTTCCCAAGTCAGTAGCATAATTTATTAACCTATTCTAAAAACACACACACACAGAATATATAGTGAAAGACAGCATATAGGACATAGTCAGGGGTGGAGTGTTTGTGTCAACCAGACTTTTGTCTGATCAGGTTGGCTCCCTGTTTAGCAGTAGGCAGGGGGTTAATATCTAAACACACCCTGGGACACCTAATTAGCAAAGTGCTCTAGGACAGGCTTGTGGGTGGGTGTGATTCAGTCTGTGCTATGAACAGGCTGAGACTGGGAGCTGATCAAACAGTCCATAAGGATAAAGGTTTTGTTGCTATTTTGTGTTGTAATAACCCATGTGGGGTTGGACTTTGATGTCAGTGTTTGATGTAGAAATAATAGTGGGGAAGAAGACTACAAGTGCAGTTTAGATTGCCTTCAAGCTATGTTTTGAAGCTGATCACCATATATAATCATGTATGTATAGTATATACACAAGTGAGCAAACTGCCCTTAATAACCCAAACACATCTTGCAAACGTGTGTGCTGGTACCAAATCACATGATATCGCATTCCAGTGCATTTTTCTGTCCATTCAAATAAACGGACTGCAAAAATGAACAGCATAGGAACAGGCATGTTCCGATGTTAACTGTCCCTAAATAATTGGATCATAGTGATATTTTGAACTAACTGTTTCATGTCGTTATTACCACACATGTCTCTGAAACCTTGTGATCAGTCAGTCAGCTTAGTTAAATTGGTAAAAGTAGTCACTCTTCTTTTTGGTATTATTGTGTGTACCACATTGAATATTGATCAGAAAAAGCAAAGCACTGTCTTGAGAGATCAAAAAGAAAATTCTATACCCATCATGTCAAAGGTAATAGGCTATAAGACCATCTTCAAGCAGCTCAAAGTTCCTGTGATTATAGTTGCAAATATTATTCTCTTGGCACAGACACCTCCTGGCCCTTTAAGGGGTTTGTGACACCAGGAGGTGGGGCAGGATTTAGGGTCATGTGACCGCCGTGATTGACTATCACGGCGGTCACATGATCAGAAAGCTCCCAACCTCAAGTAGAGACTGGAATCTTTCTGTGAGGCACCCTGAATGTGTTGGGAGTGAGCATAGCGCACTCTTGGCAGATCCTTTGTTTACATTGGGTATGCAAATATGTGGCCTCTCGGTGCCAAGTGGTTAAGGAGTTTCAAGTCCATGTACAGTAAGTATAGCCATCCTTCTGGATGTGAACGCAAGAGGAAAATGAACCTCAAATTAAACAGAAGGATAGTTTGATTAGCCTAGAAAAGGCCAAGCTAAACTAACAAAGAGATACATGCTGAACTCCAAGGCCAAGGTACATGAGTGTCTGATCGAACCATCCATCAGTGGGCTCAAAGGAAAAAGACTCCACAGTGGATGACTCCACTGCTAAAGAAAAACATAAAAACAGAGTCTGGAGTTTGTTAAAATTCATAAACAAGTCACAAGGCTTCTGGGAGAATGTCCTTTAGACAGATGGGACAAAACTGAAGCTTTCTGGAAAGGTACATGAGCTCTATGTTCACATATGAAAAAATGAAGCTTTCAAAGTAAAGAACACCATACCCGCTACAAAACCTGTTGAAAGATCCGTTATGTTTTAGGGTGTTGCTTAATCTGGCACGGGAGAACTTGAATCTGTGCAAAACACAATGAAATCTTAGCACAAACAAGGAATTCTGGGGTGAAAAGTACTGTCCATTTAGTGCCAGAAAGCTTTGTCCCAGTCACAGTTCAGGGGTCCTCCCAACAGGACACTGACCCAAAATATACAGCTAAAAGCGCCCAAAAATGGCTAAGAACAAAACAGTGGTCCTCTGAGCCCTAACCTGAATCCTATCAAACTTCTATGGAAAGAACTGAAGCACTGTCTGGAGACGGTGTCCTCCTTTTCCAAGCTGAGATGTTTGCCCAAAACAGTGGGCCAAACTATATCAAGACAGGTGCAGAATTCTAATTAAGAGCTACAGAAATCTATAGAAATTGTTTGAGTGCAGTGATAGCCTCTAAAGATTGTGCAACAAAATATTTGCTTAAAAATTCCATCATTATTGTCCATTACATTTTCATTTGTATTATTTGAATGATTATATTATATAATTATTTTATATATTTAATATATGATTGTTCCATTATATTATCCATTTTCAGAGTGTGTGTGTGTCAATAATGAAATACATGTTGTTTAGCAGTATCATTTATTACGTATTATGAACTTTGCTGCAGTTCTGGATCTCTTTGTGCTCACTTCTGCTCAGACCCTAGACTCTATACTTTAGGGCTTGTTGACACTTGCCTTAAAATAAAAAACAAATAATGCAGCGCTACTACCATAAAATCCTTCACACATAGATGAATATGTGAAACAGTGCAAAAATAGTGACACAAATAACATAAATGCACAATAATAAATAGTGCAAAAAAAACCTCACAAATAATCATGTGTGACAAGTGTCAATACGAGGTCCTAAAAGGACCAAATAACAAATAGTGCCCCAAGTAATCCAATGGGATCAAATAGTGCTCCAAAACAAACAAACAAGTCACAACAGGACTCAATGTGCTAAAAACCTCCCACCAGAACTATAAAATTGTTCCCACCATATAACACAAAACACACGTGCATCCCAATCAACGCACAAACTAAAGACTGATCATGCAGACAAACATGAATAAATAAATAAATAAATAAATAAATGTATAAAGTCCTGTGAGATGAAAAACATCAATATATAAAGTCCACAGCAATTCTTGAAAAAATGTGCTGATAGATGTGTAGAGATATCCAAAAATGGCTGAATTGCCCGATCACCTCCCTCTTGCGACCCACACAGGGTAGAAAGGCCTTCAGGATCACTAACACATGGACCCTTAATATTAAGTAATCCTCCACAGCTCTCCACACTGGTCTCCCCTCATGTACAGATTCAAGCACAGGCTCACAGGGCAGCAGATCTCCTCTTCAGGCACATAAGGTGGCTACAGCCACTTGATCCCTCAGAAAATATAAGTGAATACTTGCATAGTGTAAAACTATTTATTTACCAAAGTATTACATAACAAATTATGCTTACATTTTAAATTTTCTTGTTCATCACATGTAAATCAAACCTCAGATCAGATATACTTGCATGGGTGTCCAATGTAAATAAAAATGGCTTCCGACCGAAGTGCGTCACCGCCTTGGCTGTGGGGAGACCAGTGTGGAGAGCTGTGGAGGATTACCTATTATTAAGGGTCCATGTGTTAGTGATCCTGAAGGCCTTTTGACCCTGTGTGGGTCGCAAGAGGGAGGTGAGCAGGCAATTCAGCCATTTTTGGATATCTCTGCACATCTATCAGTACATTTTTTCAAGAATTGCTGTGGACTTTATATATTGTTAGGTGTTTTTCATCTCACGGGACTTTATACATTTATTTATTTGTTCGTGTTTGTCTGCATGATCAGTCTTTAGTTTATGCGTTGATTGGGATGCACGTGTGTTTTGTGTTATATGGTGGGAACAATTTTATAGTTCCGGTGGGAGGTTTTTAGCACATTGAGTCCTGTTGTGACTTGTTTG